GAGCATTCCCATGCCTCCTCTGCCCCGCTCCGCCCCGCCCCGCCCCGCCAGCGGTGCCCCCTCCTGCCGCCGCCGCCTACATCGTCCTGTCGGCGCCCACGTTGAGCACGCGGCGCACCTCGTGCGGCCGCAGCTCCACAAACTGGCCAAAGGCGAGGTCTCGGGGCATGCGGTAGCCGCCGATGCGCACCCGCCGCAACGTCCTCACCCCCACCCCACCCCGCCCCCAGGTGCGCAACCTGGTGGAGCATGCCGGGCTGGAGGTGAGGACGTTGCGGCGGGTGCGCATCGGCGGCTACCGCATGCCCCGAGACCTCGCCTTTGGCCAGTTTGTGGAGCTGCGGCCGCACGAGGTGCGCCGCGTGCTCAACGTGGGCGCCGACAGGACGATGTAGGCGGCGGCGGCAGGAGGGGGCACCGCTGGCGGGGCGGGGCGGGGCGGAGCGGGGCAGAGGAGGCATGGGAATGCTCCTGCTCCGCCTGCGCGGTGGCTGCTGCCTGCTGCTCATTGGTGGCGGCGCGCCCTGTAACGTATTTGAGTCCATAGATGCTGCTCAGGGTGCGCAGTGCTCTCTGCAACCCCAAAGTGGGGCCCTGGCGGCCAGGCGGGATGCGCATCGCAGCGCAGCGCCGCCGCCAGGAATGGGCACGGCGCCTGGCGGCCCTTGATCGCGCAGCCCTCGATCGCGTTGTTCGATTGAAGATTGGCTGACAGTGTGGCGGAGAAGCCTGCAGCCGCAACTCCAACCCTGCACCCTCCACCGCGAGGGAATCGTCGGAAGCGCCGTTTGACGCGATGTGGGAGTTCTGGTTAGTGTTTCCTCAGCACCGCGGCACTGGGCAGGCAACGCCGCCCCTGGCGGTGGCGCCCCCCGCCTGCTCCCGTCGGCGCCTCGTGCCTCCAACCCTATAGGCCGCACTGACAAGCCACGCCGTGCGCCGCCTGCTCGCCCAGGCGGCACAAGCTGTCCAAGGACAAGCGGACCAGCATGGACGGCTTGCCCAGCCCCAGCGCGGCTGTGGGTGGGTGCCCGCCGCCGGCCGCCGCCTCTGCCTGCCGCGGCCCGCTGCCTGCCGCCGGCACCCTGCCTGCTGCGCCTATGCCTGTCTCGTGCTGCCCTGGCTGCCTGTCGCCACTGCCTGCTG